CTGAATACGTAGGGTCTCCCATCGCGGATATACCAAGTAGGACCATCCATGTACCTTTGCTACATGGTGTAATAACTTCAACACACAACTTAACCACATCTCAACGTCTATGAGTTTCAACGTAGTCATCTACACCATCAACTTCTCAAGGCCATCACTAATAAGTCACACAAGCATGTAGGTGCTACAACATACTTCAAATAGGATTCTAGGATAACCTTATCATAAAAATAATCATACACATCAATCATAGTACTAAAAGATAATTAAACTCAAATATATCCCAACCATCATCAGTACACAAACCAATTCATGTTTAATAACACAGTCTATGGCTAATATATAAAATCACATTTCAATACAAATCCCATTTATAAGACCAAGACATATTCACATACGATATTAATAAAAGAAAATAAGTTAATATCCATATCTCATATACTCAAATCACTCTCTAACCAATGTAAGCCCACTAGACTTCAATTAGTCCCCTGTAGTACTAAGTTTAGTATGTAGAACGTTTCGAGACATGTTGACCAAAAGTCAATTCTTGGTCAACAGTAGGATCCACAAAACTACAAAATTTGATACAGAAGATCCGCACATCATAATCTAGATCCGTAACTTCCTAAGGTCCACATTATTCTCAAAGAACAACATACTAAAATCTCATCGCGATCCGACAGTCGGATCTCCGCCAATTACTAAAGTTAGGTGGCGATCAACAATTTATTTTACAAATTAGAAATCCAATTCGGGAAGATCCGTACTTCGGATTCCTGATCTATAAGTTCCTAACATCCTAAAATATTACTTATTATAATGTCTTAAAGTTTGGTGACGATCCAACGGTCGGATCATTGGTTCATATTTTGACTTATTCATGTATCGAAATGAAGCTAAGTCCAAAAAATCAATTTACGTCGTACGGATATCAAACATGAACTCATGGCATCTAAAAGTGCTTAAAAAGACGTCATCAGCCCACAGGTCACGCGCTGCGGGTGGGGGTCGGGTGCCCGCCGCGCCCCGACTTGCCAGAAAATTCAACTATTTAAAAAATTCTTAAAAATTACAGAATTGAAGATCTCAAATAGTAGAGTAAACTTTATACCTGTGGCCAAATCCAATTTGTCCTAGAAAGACTCCAATTTTGCTAAAATCGTACGGAAACCCTAGAATGGGTGTGTTCGATTCGACCTCCAAACTTGCTCCGAAGCCTCCATCACTGCTTGGGCTTTGTTCCTTGTCTCAAGAGGATGCTATGGGTGATGGTGATCGATGGAATTTGATTCAAATTTACTCACCCGAAGACAAAGAACTCCCGCGGCGCCCATTAGGATTTTTGTACCAAAATACCAACAAATTTCTTCAAATTTTTGGTGAAGCAAGAAGAGAGAGGGCCAAGGTGATGATTGGGAATGGTTTATAGGTCCAATTCATTGGAAAATTGGACAAAAAAGGGCGAGGAACTGCTGGAATTTCACACCGGTTTGAAACCGGGTCGCACGCGTGGGTAACGGGTCTGCTTGGTTGGGTGCTTCGCACCTCCTCCTTTCCCCTCCTTTCCTGCTCTCCCGTTGGTCATCTCTCACCACCTTCTTCCTGATTAGGCAAAAGCCCTTTCCTTCCTCTCCCTCATTTGGGCAGCAGCCCTCCCTTTTGATCTCTTCTATTTATTTATTTTTTTCTTTTTCATTCCTCCTTGGTCAATTCCCTTTAACTCATATAAATATGATTGGCCTCTTTCCCACAAGATGGGAGTTTAAAATAAATTTAAAAACTATCGTTTAGCATCACAACTTCAAATGTCCATAACTATACCTTTAAAACCTGGACTAGCAAACTGCTTTCGCCTATGCGTTCGTGATCACGAAATCTATTCAACAATATAAATTGTGACCTCGAATGGTCTACGGATTTTAAATAATTAATTTCCCGAAAATAATATAAATCTCTATAATACCAATATGTAGATTATAATAATGAAATCCAGGAACAGGATTTCACACTAGAAGTCTCCTATCTTTCTTTTATCCATCTTCATTTGTTAATAATCTATGTAGAAGTGTCCCGACTCTCCCCCACTCCCCAATTTTTTGTCTTTATTTTTTTTTTCTCTACACATTCTTCATCTTTTCTATTTTAATTTCCTCCTTCTTCTTCATGTAGTTGACATGGCATCTGCCATCGGAGCAAGACCACTTCGCTTTGCCCCTCCAATCCTCTATGGGCTTTCGTCAATCTCATCCTTTTGGCTATCAGACGAATCGATTTCATCCTTCATACATCAATAGCCGCTGTTGCAGATCGACGACATCCTCAACAAAACGATCTTGTAGTTCTGTAGGGGCAATGAAAGGGTTTCAGAGGGATTGACCGATGACAATGACAAGCTTCTCACTATCTCTGGTCTAGCCTCTCTTCCTTCCGCAAACAGCGACTCAAGGTTATCTCTTCCACCTCCTCCTTGTTTTTTTTTTTTTGAAACAAATTCAAAGTTGTAAACTTTGAAGAAGGAGAAATTGAATTGTTGTTGTTCTTTTTGTCAGTAGATTCTTGAAGTAGAAGAGGAAAAATAAGAGTTTTATGATTTTTTTTTTTGTTTTTTTTTTTTTTTTTTTTTTGCGATTATCGGTTTTGGCTATGGTAGTCTGGTGGGTTTCTGTGTTTCCATTTCTTGTGCAAGGGAACAAGATTGAGTCAATTGAAGTTGTGGGTTCATGCGTCTGATGATGGAGACAGATCCATCGGGTCTCGTAGGAGAGAGAGAAATCAATTTGAAGCAAAGAAGGGGTTGGGTTCGAGGGACGATGGAGATTGGTGAAGCCATTTCTGGTTTGGTGATTAGAGAAGATGGCAGATGGAGCTGTTTCTGGTTCGAGGGACGATGGAGATCGGCGAAGGATGGAGATCGTCAAAGCCGTTTCTGGTTCGAGGGTGTTATTGGACTTTAGAAAGTTTCATTAAAGATGCACGGTAGCTCCGCATGCTTTAAAAAAAAAGCCAGTTTTCCAAAGCAGCATTTAGCTGCTTCAGCTTTTCTGATGATTTTAGCTGTCAATCACAGCAGCTTCCAAAATAATCCCTTTTCTTTTAGTTTACCAAATTCCTTCAACATAAAAACTTTAAAAATAAGCATTTTTTTATATATATATAAGTACCTCAATGCCAAAACATACCTAATTCTAACCTGCTTGCTGGAGATGGCTTTTAGATATTTCTGGACTAAAAGATCCATTCAGATCATGGACGAGGAAGGCCTTAAGTTTAAAGACTGGTGCATATATTTTGCATACCTTTAGCGACGGCTACAATCTTCAAGGCCTTGGTTCTGAGTTTTTCAGAGCTCAAATGTACTTTCATAACTATCTTTTGCTGCACCTTTGTATAAAAATCAAGCTTTTTTTCTGTACGGAAACTCTATATTCTATGAATCGATGAATTTCTGTTGGGTATTTTGTTTCTTGGGCTTGAGCACTTTAGAGGTTAATAAAAAGTACCAAAAGCTATGCTATATTTATAGCACTATTCTAAAAATTTTTGCCTAACAATGTTTAGGCCTCGCCTAAGAGCTAGGCGGCTAGTCATGATCCCGGTTAGTCTCTAGGCGTTTAAAAATTAAGAAAGTGCGCCTAAATCCACTTAGGCTTCCGCCTATCCCGCTTAGGTGCTCGCCTAACTCGCTTAAACCTGCCTATGTCACGACTCTCATTTAGAAAAAAAAATCGATAACTTTATTTTTGTATTTTATTTTGTCAATAAAATGTAAGAAACTTGTTAAATACTTAGATGAACACTTATTATATGTTTGTTACCCATTTTGCAATATATTCTAATACTTTATAATTTGTATGTCATTTTATTTTGCAATTGATAAATCACAATACAATTATGTTTTTTTTTAATCTAAATATGCACTTATATATATATATATATATATATATATATAATAAATTTACATAAAATCCGTTTAGTTCATCTTGGCCTCCACCTAGACCCCGCTAACCGCTTAATAATACCATTACCTGCTGTTGACTAGTCTCAATTGGAGACAAGCTATTTCCACAGCTTAAAAACCTAGGTTTCCATACACTTAGTCAACACCACCGGAGATTACGCAAATTAATTCTTTAGTAAAATACAGTTGACGTTTTCTTTGATGCCTCCATCTCCTCATCAGAATGCCTTGTAATTGGGTGTTCAAAGTCAAGCACCACGCAGATGGTTCCATTGAACGTTTATAGAGCCTGTCTCGTAGCTAAAGGATATATGGTCAGCAACGTGGTTTTGATTACGACAATACCTTCAGTCCCATGGTCAAAACGGCCACCATTCATATAGTTCTTAGCCTTGATGTTACTCATGGATGGTCCATCCGTCAGTATGAGAATGTGAAGGTAAAAGAGTTTTATATCGGAAAACGAAGAAACCTTGCAAAGGCTTATAAAAGGTTGGGCTACTCTCTATATTGTCAATTAGTTTTATGATGAATCCTCTTCTTTATTCATGGCATCATAGTAGGTTGGTCCATGTGTGAAGTCCAAAGGCCACACGTGCTCCATGGCCACCCAATTCATGTTGTCCACTTATTTGACTTAAAAATTCGCCGCACGTGAAGGGATATATGGGAGTAAAATTTAGAGGCTCGTTTGATACTTAATTTACTTATAATTTTTAGTTTTAGTTTTCATTTTTTAGCTAAAGATAGAGGACAAATACATTATCATCTATGTGACTGTTGCTGTGTGTAGTCCTAGGATCCATCTATGTGAGCCTATCTTGAAAACATATGGTGGAGTCTAATTGGTATTGGTACGATTGATCAACCTTGCATGTAATATTAATTTGAGCCACCCGTTTCGTCTAGAACAAATTTTTATTTGTTCGGACTTTAACTGTTTTGTATTAGTTCCATATGATATGAGATGATAATTAAGTGATAAATCTTATCGATCAAAATATTGGATTTTTCAGACATTTTAACTGCATAATAAACGTTTTTAATCACTTGAACTATAAATTCTTTATTAAATAATAAAAGTTGTTACACTTGGGTTATCTATTTTCTATATCACTGAGAAGAAAAGAACTCAAGTAAAAGTGCTTATTTTAGTATCGGTAGAACATGGTGCACATGACACAGTGGATAGTGAACATAGCTTGATGTCCATGGAATTGGAACCGCTGGTTTTTCGTCAGCTGATTTTTTCACTTCTTCAACAACTACTATGGTGGCGAAGCCAAGCTTGTTCTTCAACAACTTGGCCAAGCAAACGACATCAACTCCATTTCCGATCACCTCCACCTGCCCTTTGTCTACTTATATGGACACTTTGCTCACACCTGATTAGGTAGTAATTAACCCACAATTAATTAATTAATCATCAATCATTAAGGCAGTCTCAAATAAATTCGTAGTTATCTGAAATTTGATGCATACACCTTTGGCCTTTGCAGCAATCTTCAAGGCCTTGGTTCTGCACTTCTCAGAGTTTAGTTGCACTTTCATGACAATCTTTTGCTGCATATATGAAGATCACACATAGTTAAAGCCTTTGGTTTCATCTTCCTAAAAATGAAAATGTAACTTTGATAAAACAAACAGAATACGTTGTTTTTATTTATTTATTTATTTATTTTTTTTGGTATATAAGTGATCCTTGGGAGTAGGGACATTCAAATACAAACCTCGTGTATGAGATAAACACTGTTAACTACTTGAACTACAATTGCAGTGCAATGAATATTGAAATACATTATGTTTTAAGAACAAATTAATGAAAAGGCTTGCCTTCATGCTGGAGAGGGAAGGTTGCTCTTTCGGAACGCAAAAGCACTCTATAAATCTATCTATATTTGACTGCATTTTTTCTCCACTTCAACACGTACAAAGTACTTGGAATGCTATGCTTTATTTATAGGAGCCTAGTCTTTGTAAAATATATTACCTTGGGTTGACCTGTCCCCACAGATACAGCGTGTCTTAAACTAGACTTCAAGCAAATACATGGAAACCAACATTTCCATAAACTGAGACAAAAACCGTGCTTAGATTCAAATTTGGTTCCAAAATACTATGATTTTTCAGACGGAACACAAATTAAGGGGGAAAGAGACGTTCCAACATTTCCACAAACTGAGCCAAAACCGTGCTTAGATTTTTGAGATGGAATACAAATTAAGGGAGGGAGGGAGGGAGAGAGAGAGAGAGAGAGAGAGAGAGAGAGAGAGAGAGAGAGAGAGAGAGAGAGAGAGAGAGAGAGAGAGGAGAGGGGGATAGAGGTATTATATATATATGGATAATGCTTGCATTTCTTTTTTGGGATTTCATTCCTTCATTTGCGAATGATGAATTTTCATAGTAGAAATTCATAATCGAGACCGTTCAATATCTTAATCTTCATTTAAAGATCATCTTAAAAAAAATCATTCGAATTGGAGATTGTTTAGTTATCCAACTATATCAAATAAATCAACGAGTCATCATGAATACACTACTTGGTACTTTTGTCGTTGATTTATTTCATACATTTAGATGACTAAACGATTTCCAATCCGAAGATTTTTTTTTATTTTTTATTTTTTTATATAGAGATGATCTTCCAATGAAGATTATAAGAGATTAATCAGCTTTGACTATGAAAATTCTACGGTGAAGATACATTATTTGCAAGTAAGGGAATGCAAGTATTATTATGGTAGCAAAAATATGTCATCTTCAATCTTGACGAATTTGTACCTACAAAACAATTAACATCTTTGATCAAAGACCACACGAGGTGGGGAAGAGTTTGGCTAATGGATCTCCGATACCCAAGTCAGTATCTTTAAAAAGAGTGAGTATTTAGGACTTGTATGTGTAGCAAAAGCTTACCAAAATTTGGTAGAGATGGAAAGTATGTTTGTCTATGTGTTAGTTTTATGTGTTTAAATAGTTTTATTAATTTATAAAAGTACAAGAAGGATATTGGTTTGATAATTCATACCTCCAATCTAAATAATAGGAGTGCAACTTGGGTTGGGTTAACACGAATCGCCCATGCCTAATTCGATTTCAAAACAGATCGGGCGGGTTGGAATTTAGTAGAAACCCGTCCAAACTTCACCTGACCATTTATTGGGTTAGGTTTAGTTGCTGTCTTGTCCACCAATTTTAACCCAACCCAGATTTCTAACCCGAACTCTATCATGCACATATTACCCAATCCGCTTTGTAGTATATAAGTTAGGTACATGTTTTGTTTGGGATGACCATGAATAAGATCTTTTGTTGTTTTTTATTTGAACAATGAGTCATGATGTTGCTTTTACATTCTTTTAGTTGAAACTTTAGTATTCTTTTGTAATTTTATTTTGAACTTCGCATGGTTGAAATATTGGATTTGGTCTCCACAATATATGGTTTTCTTTTGTGTGGATGATGTGTAAAATTGAATTTTAACTAGTATTAACGTTGTATGGTTCAAAATTTTAAAATCTTACAAAATAAGGTGTTATAAGATTGAACTTGATAAAGTTGAGCAAACCCCAACACAACCAAGTAAACCCGAACCCAATTGAAGCCTGAACCCGAATAAACCCGCATGAACTTGAACCCAAACCAAACGTGAATTGCAAATGTTGGATTAGGGTTGGGTTGGCCATCCAATACGCCCAAGTTGCACCCGTACTAAACATAATGATACTCTTACCTGATTGATTAAACATCTTTGATTTCATCTAAAATTTATTTTTGACGGTCTCCTTGAGTACATGAACCATGTTTGATAAATTGGACATTTAGTAGGGTCGACTTCGTAATTTACTTTAACGATCCAAACCGTTTATATTTTAGTATATCATTTATAGATCATTGGTGCAGAAAATTAGACAAATCCAAAATCATTAAGACATTAATTTAGAGTGAAGAAATTGGACAAATACAGTTCTACAAAAAAATGTTAGGAGTATAAGATCAATGGTTGAGCTATTGACAAGTGTCATTAGATTACATAGGCAGCTATAATTGTTGTAATGGTCGCTTATCTTGTAAGCTGTCATAGTTAGGACAATATATACTAAGCTTGTAAGAAAATATGAATTAGTTAATGAAACAATACAATTGAGCTCTTTCTTCCTCTCTAAGTAATCGTACGATCTCTCTGTCTGTTCTTCATTCTCTCTCTAAGGTTCTGCATTCTACATTTGATTGATCTTGGTTTACAAGAAACAATAAATTTAATTTAACAGTCATATGATTTTGAATTTGAGTGATTTTCTGTAGACATGATCTATGAGGTAAGACGTAAAAGATAAACGGTTGGATAATTGAAATACATTACAGAGTGAGCTTCACAAAAATATGTGTCCAATACATGTCAAAAGCATGTGCCACGGGATCTTAATAACCCTATATATAAGTAACTAAATGATAAAGTTTCTTGACAACCAGTCAACTGTACATAGTCTAATTACTAATTATTTATACTATGATAGTATCCAAAATGAGTGAGAGAATAAGAACAAAATCAATCAATTGCAACTTTCATCATCACTCCGCGTTTAGTCAAGGACAAACATATCCTGTAGTTACTTATGTTATTGCTGAAGTCGCACAGCATAGGAATCATCTATGCTTGTGAGTCAATCCAGGCAAAAACTTATACTTGTGGTGGCCTTTTTGTGGTTGGCGTTTTGTGTTTGCAGGATCGCTTACAAAAAAAAACATTACCACAAGCTAAAAGTTTCTCCCAAAATTATTACCTGATAAAGATTTAATGTAATCGATCACCAAAACATAATCACCAGTCACACAAGCTAAAAACTCAAAACCCCATAACATCATTTGGTCATTGGTTAGCCCTATTTTGAATGCATGCCCCTATGAATTGCAGTGAAAAAAAAAAAAAAAAAAAAAACACCACATGAAACATGTTTCAGGTACACGTAAATATTTTTCCATAAGCTAAAGTATAACTTTCATGTAACGATGATGTACTCGCCCCATGCATGAGTGGGAGTGAGAGTGGGATAGAGGTGAAACATCACTATTATAGATGTGCCCTTAACTCATGAAAATTTTCACATGTCAATTTTTATTTTATCAAAGGTGGTGTAAACCTAAACCTGATTCTTTCTCTTAAATGTATATTGACAGGTAATGTGTGTGGATTCTCAGTTGCCCAGTTTGTAGTAGGAGACAAAGGTACAAGTCCATGGTTAAAATGATCCAACAAAATCTAAATTGCAGTACAAGTATAGAGATTATAATTTCAAAATAGTGGTATAACTCAGCATTCAGCACAAATGAGCATTGACAATCTTGATTGTGAATGTTGGTTGGTAAAGATGATTAATCATTAAACTCAAAGTCAATAACAATTACATAATAGAACAATTGGTTTCTTATCGATATTGATCATGAACTACGTGATGGTGTGGAGAATGTTGTGGATATTGGATATAGCTTGATGTCCAAGTTATTGGATAAGTAGTTGGCTTTTTCTCGTCCGTTTTTCCTTTAACTTCTTCAACACTTAGTATGGTGGCATGTCCAAGCTTCTTCCTCAACGACATGGTCAATCTCATGGAATCAACTCCATCTCCAATCACCTCCAGTTGCTCTTTCTCCGCATCTATCGACACTTTGCTTACGCCTGCTTACATGATCGATCATATGTTAATATTCATTAGTTAAGATAAAAATGATTATATTGTTCCCAAAGAATATATAAAAAAAAAAAAAAAAAAGAGTGTCTAAATCATGTCCCGGTCATAGAAGGATAAGCATACCCCGAATTGTATTTTGGCCCTCTAATATACGTATTTTAATGTATAGCTGGGCCGCATGGGTTCCAAAAAGATTAGCTTGGCGAAAAGGCTTGCTATATTTGCCAAGCCTGTAGCCCTTCGGCCTGCTGATCACTAGATGCAGCCTACTTTTAACCTGCTTGCTGGAGATGGCTTTTAGATATTTTATGGACTAAAAGATCCCTTTGGATCGTGGATGAGGATGGCCTTAAGTTTAAAGATCGGTGCATATATTTTGCATACCTTTAGCGACTGCAGCAATCTTCAAGGCCTTGGTTCTGAGTTTTTCAGAGCTCAAGTGCCCCTTCATAACAATCTTTTGCTGCACCATTGTATAAAAGGCTAGCTTGTTTTTCGTACGGAAACTCTATATTCTACTAATCGATGAATTTTTGTTGGATGTTCCTAGTGCTTGAGCACTTCAGAGGTCAATAAAAAGTAGCAAAAAGCTATGCTGTATTTATAGGAGCTTCGTCGTCTTATAATATCATTACCTGCTGTTGACTAATCTCAACTGCAGACGAGATATTCCCACAGCTTACAAGCCTAGGTTTCCACACGCTTGGTCAAAGGCACCGTAGATTACTCAAATTCTTTAGTAAGACCCAGTCGATTCTACTTTGATTTGATTAAAATTATTAGTTGGAAATTAATCTTTCATTTCTTAAGTACTTTACGTGAAATACACATAGCAGCTAGCTAGCTAGCTGTAGAAGCTTCTTGTGATTCCAGAATGAA